CGCGAGAAGTGGGCTGGAGGGTGGGGATGGCCAAATGCCGTTTTGGGGCCCACTGAATCGGCAGACGCGACACTCCACACGACAGTCTTCGTGTAACTATAGTCGGACGCGCTGTTTGTCTGCGCCCTCTCCTGGTTGCCCTCTACATTTGTCACGGTGGAAATTTTGTCATTTATTTATTTATTTGTGGACGCAGTGAAACTGCGCTACATAATTGTACAATCACAATCGGCAAGTACATCAATTGAAGTAAGACAAATCCGTAAGGATGTAGAACATTAGGAGACCTCTGAATTAACTAGCCTGGTGGCCCTTATACGAAAGGCTCCAGGTGTCATTTGGAAAATATCTGGGCCAAAAATTTTGTTCAATAAGTGAAGCACCCTGATCACAAAGAATTTAGACCTGACTTGCGTTCTCGAATACAGGAGCCCTGATCTTGATAGTGCTCCCTCTACTCCTAGAGGTGACCAAAAGGTACAAGAATTATTCATTTACCGTTGCTCGCTTGGCGGGATCCTGGGCATTTACCGATCATCCCCCTCCTGTGCGCTTCCGAGCGTAGAAAGCCCGCTACTGGAACTACGGATCCCTTCACTTCGCTTCACTTCAAGATTTACTCTGCAGATGAGCGTACATCTTTGAGTCATCTCTCCGGAGTGGACTGAATCAGACTCACCCGCGAAGCATAAGTATAGAACTTCTAAGTAAGCCTTCGTTCATTGATAGGAATTAGTTGGCATGCTGCGTCAGTTCCTATACATAGGCCGGTATTGTTACAGCATGTCTGATAGTGAGAAATAAATGGGTAGTCCGACGTTTGTCAATCCTTTCTGTGATGCTGCACTGATTTTCCTCCTATCCCGAGGAATAAAAGAGTTCGTTGGCTTGAAGAGAATTTGATCCTAAACTTGTCGACAGACAATCTAGCGCTTGGTTGGTGACCACCGAACCATTCATTTGGAGATTTCTATAGAAATCTCAGTCTTTTTTCGGTCTGTTTCTGTGGTAATGTAGCGACGTATGGCTTAACACTGCGTTGTGACGATCCCGAACTTTTTTTAAGTGCCTTTCTGCGAGACATGAGCTGTGTGCTTACTTGTTTATTGCTTGTTGACTATGAGAACACTACCATGAAGTAATGAGGCTAATGAATCTCGTGTAATTGATCAACAAGGTGTTCAGTGAGACAACTGACAACATGAGTAAACAGAAGACCTAAACTCACAGCAACACAAGTAGGCTCTCATACTGATGAAGGCTACGGCGTACTGTACCGTACTTTTTGCGGAAAGATTAATTTTGGTGGCTGAATAGAGGTCGGTACTGCTCCGTGACCCACACACCCTCACAACTTGATGTGACATTCCCCACTAGGTTTCCCGCCTTTGGAGTCTCGCTTCAGGAGTCTAACCTTACAGCCTAACCTTACTTTGCGATCAGCTGCCGATAAATGCCTCAAAGAAGCTCAATAGGGACAGAAGGAAGGATCACGCACCACGCAAAGACGGGAGTTTATAAAAAAAATGTAGCACCAGTTACTCATTGCAGCCGACTTTTAGAATTTGTGTCGGATTTTGATCGAAATTTTCTTGAGGGTGGAGTTTGCCGCTATCCCATCCTCGGAGGTAATTTGACTACCGACACATTCATTTGGCAGGTGCGTTGCTTAGGCCACCAATGAGTTAGTATACTCATTTTGCATTGGCTTCTAGTTACGTCCTTGCTGATCAAAAATGTTTTTTTTTGTCAGGTAAGACGATCGCTACTGCCAGCCCTCAAGTTGCTCAGGTGTACTGTCTTGGCTAGAAGGGAGCGTTCCAGCAGCGACTACAAACTCCTGTACTAACTCTCCTTTCTTAGCTACGTCTCCGCCCCTATTCCGTCCAGACCCTTGCAGCCATGAACGTGCTCTCAGCCACACCCCCTTTCGCCATCAGATATGGACCGCAAAGCTGGCAATCAAGCTGCGGCGATGGCGGTGAAAGAGGCTTTGCAATAGTGTCAGATGCACAGCATTTGGACCAATTTGGCAATTTGTTGCAAGGAGGCAATGCAACATCGTTATAGGCAGCCTGCTAAAAATTTTTCGGCTAATTGGGCGCGAGATCATCGGTCCGATTACCTGAGCTCTACTCTTTGCAAGTATTGTAGTTCCTTTTGAAAAAGTAGGGTAGCGCAAAAACAATAAAAGATAAACCTGGTACAGGTACAATGGGATACACCAGATCTGCAATCAGGGGTAAACACGGTCAGTTTCGCTGCAGGCGCTGTAGCGTGTCGCGTGTGCTGGGTTTGAAAGGCGCTAAGCCATATTCCAACAATTGCTGAAACAGGCGAGCGACAACAATTGGTGGGAAACCGGCTGGTGCTTCGCCAAACCCAACCTCTCTGGCACGCTTCAGCATCTGCAGCGGACGCAAACGCCAATAAACCTACATTTGTGGCTAGTTTTCGATGCTAGGGTATATCACGAGAGCTCTCCTTACTGATGTACATTATCGTTCAGAACAAAGCTGAAGAACACACAGAAAGCGCTGGAGTTTAATAAAGTGATCTGGCGCAACCGAAGTGATACAAAATTTTTAGGCAAAAAAATCGAATTGCTTAACCAGTAAGATAAATAATATACAAAGTCGGTCTCAAACTTAAAAATGAGTAATCTATGAGATTATTTCGCTCTAAACTTAATATAATATATATAATATATATATATATAGACCACCGTCCTTTGTTAACGCAGCTACAGAGCGAATTCCTAAAAAAAAATCATTAATAGATGTGAAGCACATGATGGGGGAGAAGAGAAATGCTCACCTTAGAAATAATAAAAAGAGCGAATCTGGTCAGAATGCGAGCTGAGACCGACACACTCTGCTTGTTTCCAAAAAAAAATCAGTTGTCCCATGAAGCACTGCTTTGGACGACAGTATGATGAAAGCAAAAATTATTCGACTAATATGAAAAAAGGATTTTTCTATTGCCTGCAGATCTCAGAGATTTTTCCCGCGCGTTAAAAAAAATAAAAAGATGACAATTCAGAATCATAAAGTAGCAACTCACTTTCGGCATTCGATAGTCGAATCTGCTTTGTGAGTGGCCTCAGCATTCGACTCAGCTACGAAACAACATGACAATCACGACGACACGCTTTTATTAACAGCTCAACTAATAGAGTGACGTTTCGAGTAAGACCGTGAAAAGAAACAGTCTTTTCATGACCCCGGTGCGAGGCAAAAGCCGTTACCTGCCAGCTGATATCGGAAGGATGGAGGTCTTGTGCCAGTACGCGAGGATTTACGGCTGTAAAACCTCCGCAGACAAGGCATCCAACGGGATAAAGAAAGTTTTCGTTAGATCAGGGTGTCCCCGTTTTACAATCTCTCGAGAGATGAATAGTCCGCTGATATATAGTCATCTATAAGTATTAGCAGAGCAGCTATCATTATTATTATTATTGTTGATCATTAAGATTATATTTATTACATTTTACTACCCGTTGCCCGCGGGCATGATGTAGTGGACAAGATGGGGCGCGCGGTCCCCGTTCGAAGTCGACCAAGGTCAACCTCCCGGCACCCCCGCCCTGCCAGCACAACCTTCTTTGCCGTCGGGACGAATAAGTGCTAACCGATTCGTCTGGAAGGATTACAGACCACTGATTTGTGCATTGTGGCACCGCCACGCAAGTCGTGACGGCTACATCGCAGTCTCAAGTCAAAACAACACAGAAGATAAGCCGGTGCGATTCTGGATTGACGTAAGAATGAGTGCGCATCCCACAAACACCATGAACAAAAGATGCTGATCAAACGGCGCAAGACTTCATGCTTATCATCTTATCTTTATCGTTTATTAGTACTTTATTTTACTTCACGAAACTCCTGCACTCATGCGTTAGGGGCCTTTTTCAGACACAACTCGGCTTGGAGCGACGGTCAAATGGAAGCTGACCTTCCTATTGCAAGAAACGGAGGTTTTCATTGCGATAGGGCCCATGATTCTGTGCAGAGGATTCTAATAACTTCCGGAGGAAAAGAAATTTATAAGCGTCAGAACCATAGTAACCCTTAGAAGTTTTCAAATCATCTAGAAATCCCAGAAACGTTCAAAAACAAACAGTACCCATTTTACATATGCCATGAGCGGCCCCGTGTATGTGTCTGTTAGTTCTGAGGCAGCGATCAGATACCCAGAACAATAGGGTCACCTAACACAATAGACATAATGTATTTTACAGCCTCTAAGCCTTATAGAGAAGGAGAAGTTTCTGCTCAATAGTATGTATGGGCCCGCCCAAACTTCCTCCTTCCTTTCGCGGCGTACCTAACAACACTTTCACAGTTTACCTACCTGCTTACCCACTGCTTTCGATGTCTCGTTGCCGACTATGGGGAGGATGTGGCTGTGGGAGAATTGTCAGCAACCAATGAAAATGTTTCTCTGAGACCAATTAGCTCCGCGTCTCCGTCTCAGCGGTTCTAGCTCACTTGTTTCAACCTTATTTGTTGTAAAGATCAGCACTAATTGTTCAAGCGCCTTCCGTCATGGCTCACATTTATACCCATACCTAATGTGACTCCAGAGCCTGTACACTTTTCATGGTTTATCTGAAATCGGATCGGATGTCTCAATCTTTTTTCGTATGCGATAATTGCCCTGTCTGTCCAGCGGAAAGATATTTACGGCTTAGCACGGAAATCGCTTCAAGTCCATTTGTTTATGTGACGGAATCACTTGCTAATGCGGACAATCGTTGGTCACTTCCTTTCGGAAAAAATGCTTTTCTAATCTAGGCCCATGGTGTTTTCGTAAGTACCGGAAACTGTGATGGGCCTCTCCGACAACAATGATGGTGGGGGAAAGCTGAAGCAAAATTCAAAAGAATGGAATGTATGCAAAGCTGAAAAGACATGACAGGTAATTAATTTTGGCTTTATTTTCATGTTAAGCATACATTTAGAAGTTGTCAATAAATACACATCATACATGGGCAGTGATCACGAATATAACTTAAACCATTTGTTGAGTAACTGAGGAAGAAGCATCACATTCAAATTGTTGTTGTCCACTGATGGCGTGTAATCGTTGATGAGCAGGTACGGTACCTTAACATCACGTTTTCCTCATAGAAGTTGTAGTGCCGGTTTTAATGGAGTCAGATCATGCTCAGTAGGCCCCCTGAAGTTTTTTGCGGGATGGCAAGCACCGTGCACTGCAGCTGTTGTCGAAAATGCGCATTAGTATTCCACAAGAGGTTGCACCTTGTCTATATTTGGCAAAGTATAGGCATATGCGACAGCCGTAGGTAGGATTGCCTTTCACAGGCTGCAAGGGCAAATTGATCATGCCAGATAAGTAGTAGGACTCGCTGCCCTTCACGAGATTCGATCGCCGGGTTATGGTCACGGTACTATCACTGCGTCAGTTAGCTCTTCCAGTTGTCGAAGAAGACGTTTTTGCTCCTTACAAGTTCGCACAAAGGAGGATAAAGGACAGATCTTTCAAGGTTGATCGCTCCCTTCCTGGAATGCGTCATCCATTCCTTCTGCGAATACCAGCACTTTCAGCAATGTTGAAGTGGAGATACGGCCCACTTACGATATGACCTGCGGGTCAGGTAACCGATGTGGTATTTATCCCCCACAGACACTGGTACCAAACACCTTTGGTCCGGAAGGAGGTATGGTCAGGATGACCTAGGCAGAAGCCGATTTGGAATTCGATCTCCCCACCAAGTGCGTGATAAGCGGTTTCATTAGCTTCTACACTGCTTCTGTAGTTCAAAAGAATACAAAATGCTAAAAACCAATCCTCCAAAAAATGTTCTTCTCGTCCTGCAAAGCCAGCGCACGTTAAAGGAAGTGGTTTCGCGTTCCAGGTAAGTGTCCTCGCGAGCAAGCGAATTCTCAAAGGCACATTGCGCGACATACTGAGGCAATAACTTTTCAAATGTGTCAGAGGTGATGAAGATGAGCTAGGTGATCGCAGAAGAAGCACTCCATCCAAAAAATTAGCTAGTTTTCCAGTGAAAACTGAGCGGTTAGGTCCATGAGCACCACTTAGACCCATGCCAACCCCTAGTGGCTACCACCTGCTAGCTAGCATTCACACTACTACATTTTTCTGATCCGAATGATGAGAGTGAGGCTTCCTCTCTATTGCGTGGGATCGATTCCTGAGTCTGAGTCCTACATAGGGCATTTTGGTCATTTTCTTGGGCATTTTTTCACTATTCAGTTAGTCACTACCGCGTAATTCATGGTTGAGCTTCATTAGCCAATATTTGTGATTGCGGGTTTGCCTTTGGAATAAGACCTAGGCAAACTTTAGTGAGGTCTCCCGTTCCAGAAACCATAGGTGAGCCGTGCAGCGTTCGCGACTGCCACTTGACTCCACCATTCTTTTTCTTTTTATCATTACTCGATATTTAGAATCCCTCAAAACTCACCTCTAAAATTGGATGTGGTTTGGTGCTCATTGTCTTATGTGCAGCTGACCGTTGCAGTTGGGTACCTCGCTCCCCATCGTAACAGTACCTGTAAATTTCTATTTAGAACCATTTAAAGGGTCTCAATTTAGTCATAAAAGCATGCTTTTAAGTACGAAATGAAAATCTACGATGGTCAACAAAAGTCCCTCTATTTTCAAGAGATATCATGAGAAGTTTGATCTTCTAAAGTCAGTACCTTATTTGTCGGTACTGACTTCGAATGAACGCTGAACAGGCATGCATCGCCTGATCGACAGTGTTGTGATGGATGATCCGTTCGAAGCACACGATGAAGGGTAATGCTCCGGAAGACTGAAATCGCGGACGTTTTCACTGACTGCTGACTGGGAGGGAAAAATCATAATTTACCTTCAGAACGTCAATCACACAGGACTGTAGACGATTCGCATCGCATTCCTTTCTTCCGTGATTACACGAGAACGAACCATCCTGGAACAATTTACTGCAATAGGTCATAGCTTGGGTCAGATTCCACGTTAATTGAGGTAGGCGGTAGGTGTTGTGTGGCGGCACTGCCACCACAGACATTTGATATCGTCGCACGCAGTCGGGGCAGCGTCAAGAGGCATGTAATGAACACAACCGCCGCGTTTCACACTGGTTGTTTTTCTCTTAAAGGCACGGTCCGCGATCAGGTATCGAAGTTGAAAATATGGCGTCAGGAGGTTAGAGTGGTCCGCGACGAACAACCTTGTACCGGTTTCGCGGCAAAAAATTCTATGGGAGGGGCGCTGTAGCGCAATATAGGTTCAGTGGCTCCTCCTTTTTTCCAGTGACTCCGCCTCCAGACTCCGCCCCTAATGACCGACTTCCAGTGAAAAATGAGATTGCAGGACGAAAAAGCATGATAATCGCCACTTGTACGATCGTAGAAATCTTATCGGTGAATCAGCCGTGCATATGAGGGCGTAGTTTTGGAGATAGAGTTGATTGGGCACGTACAAACTGGGATCGAAATGGGGTTCTATCTAGGGCAGGTGGCATGTTTTTTGTGCTTTTTTTGTTCACAGTCGAGTTACTCAACCCCTTGTCGTCTATATGGAACCCCCTAATCCACCATCTGAGATGGCGAGTAATCGCGGGTTTTTCCTTCGGTCACTAATCGTTGAATATATGGTAAAAAAAAGAGAGCCGGTAGCGGGCTCATCCCGCCCCTCACGACACCGCCCCGATGATTGCGACGATATAATCGGCACACAATAGATGGATCACTCCACATAGGCTTCATCCTTCCCTTTTAGAGTGCCAGGAACCTCCAAAGATGAACTGTAGATTCACTTCAGTGGATCCAGGTTCTTGCCATGTATTGGTGATTGGATCAGCAGCTGCAGCAGCGCGCAATTTTCCGTTGTAAAAAGTGCACAGGAACGGCATGGGGGGGTAGAGATAGATGGGTGCCGTTCCCATATTCCGCTTGCACTGGCGCAGGCCCAACCACAGCCAAAGGCGCTTTTGGTCTGAGTCCTCACACTTTCCGTTGTTCTCTTCCTCCGGTTACTGATATCCAACCCGTTCCCGTGACGCTACTGCAGCCGGGACCGTCTTTGGAGATACCAGGAACCGTCCTGTACAGCTGCTTGTGACCTAGAGCATTCAGGACGAAGCCCTCAGTCGCCATTTGCAGGTTGTAGCGATGAGAATCGCTAACATGTGGGCATGTGAGATAAAAGCAATGCATGCCTAAAACGCTCTATGTGGATATCAAGTGGGTTCTGAATCTTTTATGAGTTCAGAGAGATTGACTGTAGTAAAGAGAAGCCGACCACATTATGGCTGGAGAATATGCAATTGATCGAAAGCACATCGCTAGACAGCACATGTTGTGATGGAAATGATTGTGGTGGATCCGGTTCACCGAGGCGGAGCTATTATAGGTTGTTGTCGCTGAGCCATGGCGCTTTTAACAAGCATTTCAAATCGAGAATGTGCGATATTTCTGCAGCTGCGGACGCGCCAACGTCTCAGGGTAACTGGCAACCGCGAAGCCTCTCTCCTCCTTCCTTTTTTTCCTTGCTCCGTCCACCTTTTCCTTCCTCCCTTCTCTCTTCCTTATTTTCCTCCCTTCAGACCCTCGGGCAAAAGGGCAAAAGGTATGACAAGAAAAAGGCTCCGGCCCTTCTTAGCCAGAGAATATCTAGTTGACAGAAGCCCTGCAACCGAAGGTCATGCCTATTAACCAACCTCTCGGTATTGAGCAATGGAAAGGGTTCTACCCGTTCACATCAGAGAGCATTTGTCTTCCGTGAGGTGCGGTACTTCTCCTACAGCCCTCGGGAGGCACAAGCCAGAGAAGTACAATGGTGCTGAGTTAGAAGGAAAGTGCAATGTTGGCGCATGAGACAGGAATTTCTAGAGGAAGAGCTTTATAAGCGTTTTAAATTTCCACGGGAAATCCTGAGATGAAAAACCGAGTTGAGTATCCCTCGATAACCCTCGATAATGAGTAAACTCGTACCGTAATGCGAGCTGCAAAGTACTAGAGTGTGTTACGTGCGTCTCCGAATTATTTTTAAGAATAGATAACATATTCAGGTTGGTTGGAAAGTCCTGCGACACTTTGATTGAATTGTTCTAGAAAAAGACCAAAAATCATTTGGATGTTTTCATCCCTGATTAGTGGAGACTGTCCTCTGGGGTTTCTGCAAATGGGTATATCATGACTTTGTTCTGTATGGCCACTCCGCCGTAGTCGAGGAAGCTAACACCTACGTTGTCTTGAGGAAGGATATCGCTTGCCATGGCAGAGGGTAGCTTTTGCATCAGCGCTTCCGAGCTGGACTTATTTAATTCGGAGGTAGGCAATGTATAGGTCGGCCACCAGCACAGAATGACGGCCCTTTACTCAAGCTTCTTGAGGCGCAGCCGAACGTAACCACCAGTAAGTTGGCAACCTCTCTAGGCTCCACCTAACTGACAACTGCCATGCTTCTCCGCAATCTCGGTTATCGGGAAAATTTTTTGTGAAGGATGCCTCATGAGTTGGACCCGTCTGACAAGTCATACCGAATGACCGTGACTGAGTTTTCTTTTCCTTGTACACACTGGAAGAACATTTGTGAGATCTTGTGGTTGGTAGCGAGTGGTGGAGTCCTTGCGTACATCATGCACATGTCCCTCGCAGGATCTCTCAAACAGAAAAGTAGATTGCTTAGCCAAAAGCAGATGTGCATGGGATAAAGATTTCAGTGTGTTATTGGTGGGACTTCAAAGCGGTATCGCTGGATACCAGCACCGCTGTAAGGACCACACTCAAATCAACTTCATGGATGACGTCACGCTTGAATTCATTCAGAAATACTCAATTTTTCTCTACTACTCGGCAATGCGAAGACCGCATGTGGGGATCAGGCTACGCCAAAAGATCATGGATTTCGATCAGAGAATGCGACCGTACCCAGCTTATTTACAAAGTTAGCAGCCTCTAATTACCACCTCCTTTGATCCCTACCGCATCCTTAAGAAAGCAAAAATTCCGAAAATCGACGTCTACTGAAAATGAGGTCCACCTCTTCTTTTTATCATAGTTGCCGTAGTTCTATGAGAATGGAAATGAGAAGCTGTGCAAAAGAAGGGCACTAGTCCTAGTCATCAACTGCGGTTACCTTGTAGATTGGAGATGTCTTTTAGTGAAGGAAAATGAAGTCCGAAAATTTGGTCAAAGTGTCTCACTTCCAACCTAATAGTATGCATCACATGGCACTAAAGTGCGAGTCTGGTTGCGGATTTTTCAACATAACAGGTGGAACTCTGAGCGAGTTCAATCTCCCGACTGCCCGATTTCTCTTTGAAATTCCCGACAGGTCGTCGAAACCGCTAGAGTAGATGAAGCGTTTGATGGATTAGAGCGTAAAATGGAACTTTGAACCATTCTTTGGGCCTCGGCAGACGCGATTCTGTGGAAACATTACGCTATGTACTTCAGTAGAAGTCCCCTATCAAGCAGCGAAAAAAAATATAGCAAAAAAACAAATGAAAATAAAATACATATAAATAAAAAATAAAATAGCAAAGGTGTATATAAGCGGGAGTGGAACACCAAAACACGACGACCTATTTCTTTTGCGACCGCGGTTTCCGGCCTGAATCTGAAGGACTTTTTTCAATCGACCAGGGATAGTAATCGAAAAGTAGCCAGAGATTCCAAGTGAGGATACGATTTGTAATGTTTTCTTACCGACTATTTCTATGAGCGCTATTCTGCTAGTGAGGATTCTTAACTTTCCACGCCAGGTGTGGCTCCTCGCTTGAGCATAGAGGCTAAAAGGAAAAGTCTTCGCTGTTGGTCCCTTTGTGGGATGCGGCACGCATTCTACTTCCATTCAGAATCGTGGCTTATTGAATGCGATGTGGCCTATACAATGACTTGCGGGGCCAGCCGATGTACAAGTCAGTGTTTATCCTCCCAGACGAATCTGGTACCAATTTACCGTCCCCGGAGGGTAGAAGGCTTGGTTGGCCTGGGCGGGAGTCGACCCGGGATTTGAACCCTAGGACCGCGCGAGTGGTGAGCGCACCACTTGCCAACACCACCCTGCCCCTGCCCCACTAATTTAGAAGCTCTGAAAATTTTCTCCGGTGTAGCACACACTACCACTCCCATCCCCATATCCGTCACTATAGATGGTAAGCGGAAGTAACAGTGGAACTTCAGGGTGAATTCAGGTCAAAGGTCTTAGCGTTGCGGACAGAAGGGATCATGCTGATCGACAGCTTTTCCTCATCATTATGACGTGCCATGCGTGACGCGTTATTTGAGATATTATGCCCCAACGATACCGGAACCAAAATGTAAAACATCGCGATTTTTCTACGATAAAAAGAGCAGTTAAAAAATAGGTTCTGTAGGCGAAGCAAATCCAACAGCTTCTTTTCCGTTTTCTTTCCTATCAAAGATCAGCATAGAAACTGATGGGGCCCTCGCTGCAATAAAACTTTGTGCTTGACGCATTTGTCTGTCGTTGTAACAAAGAACTGCTGCGATTGCTGATATCGCAAAGGTAATCGAGAAGGTGATCCCAGGCAATCATTCACACTTCCTGGAAACTTGCCAACCTCTTGCAGTGTAAGATGGCGTCCAGTACGAAGAATAAAACATCAAGAGGTGCCTTTTCTTTTTAGTTGACAAAAAGGCTGTCTCATATTAACAGCCAAGTAACTCATAAAGCCTTATTTCACTCAGACCATATTTCACACCGTATCGTACCGTATCCTACAGGCAGACCCATCTAAACGACTGCATTCATCTTATTGGTTGAATCCTTCGATCCAGCAATACAGTCAGCGTGAATTAAGTTTAAAAGCGCTGTATGATACTGTAGATATAGAGAACCAACTCGGCACACAAGGTAAGGTAATAGTTTGAGAAAAGGTCCTTCACAAAATTTGAGACTATAAAGTCCTGTACAAAATTCGAGACCATAAATTTCTACGATTTTCCGCACCCACAAAACGGCTGTTAAAATTTCGTTGTTCGTTTTTTGTGTGTCTATACAGGCTCGTTCCTCGGGACCGAGATCAGCGGCATCAAATAATTCAGAGCGAGATCACTCGCTTGGGAAGCATGCAACGGTCACATGGCTGACAGTCAATTTCAGTCTTATTTGCTGCGACGTTGGGGAGTGTCACGGATTGGGTTTTGGCGCAGCGCCAGTTGCTCTCCACCAACAGGGGGCGGGTAAGCGGCACAGGTGTGGTGAGAAATGGGCTGGCCCTGCGTCAAACCTGACCCCTTGACACGTCCCAGCGAACAACACTGTATTTCCACCTGAATCACAGATCTTGTCTCCAAGATATCTTGCCGGTAAATCGCTGCATCCAGCAATAGCTCTTAGAACTTGAAGCTTACATTTGTCCGTTGTAAGTATTTCAAATCCGTAAAGCACACAAGTTGAGTTTTGATACATTATTGCTACCGCCATGGTGGAGGCGAACGAAATATTGCTGCAATAAGTAGAAAATCACGAAGAAAATCATCGGTATTGACCAGTCCATTTTGGGGTTGTGCACGCATTCTACTTTCTTATCCAGAATCGTATGGTTATTGAATGGAGTATGGTTCACACAAAGGGGCTTTTAGGGGATTGCCCATGTAGAACCCATGGGTTTGCTTTGTAGACGGGTTTGCCATTATCATATTTCGGCAAGGAAGGATAGAAGATTTGGTAAGCCTGAGTCGCAATCGGTCGGGAGTTTTACCTTCGGACTATGGTAAGCAACGTCACATGCCCCTGCACTGCTTTCACCCATCCTTGGGATTCGCCTATAAAGCTGCAGTGATTTATATCGTGAAAATAAACATAATATTGGAGCTTTTCGGGACAGGATTGCTAAGAAAGAAAGTTTTGCTAGCTTAGCACACATTGCCCTAGGGCAACAGTATTTCACGGTTGAGCAATATTAAAATATTTTATTATAGTATCTCCTGCGGCTCATATTGCCATAGGCCCATAGCCTGAAGGTATAATTAACTGCATAGCGAAAGGATGGATTTATGGACTTTTTTATTTTGCTGCTTTATTGGTTTAAACTGGAGGAGTTGGGATGGTCGTTGATCAGTGATTTGTCGATGGCCGGTTGTTATTATGAGCTAAGTCACTCCGTTACGAGCATCCGAGTTTTGAAGCGGCACGAGTGCCAATGCAGTTGAAAGGGCAGTTTTTCGCCGCTACGACAACGTCTCAGAGCGATGGCCATAGGTCAGCTGTCCGATGGGGTATAAATCGCGTCTGTGGGATCGGAAAGATCGTCACACTTGTCGAGTGCAAAAGTGAAAGTACGAACACGAATTATTCGGCCACTTACTCTAAGTATTCGTGAATTGCCCCAGGGTACCAATTCCAACTCTAGATGATCCTTGTACTGCTGATACATGCTTCCCAGTTGATTAGAGATGAACCTGAAAAAAGTGTGAGATATGGTGCGAAGAATAAAGATTTGTGCCACTGAATCGACAATCATCTGTGGTAACACTGGCAGATTAAGCGAGTTTGTAGCTCTCAAAATGAGACCAACATAGAATAACCGGGAGAGATGCTTGCTGTGCGTTCCTTCTCCTCATATGAACGTGAATAATAGCCCGAAATTAGCTAAGGGGTTATAACGGCCAGAATGAGAGGTGCAAGTGGTTCACGACTGTGCGACAGACCCAATGGAGTACGCCATACAAAGACTCCTTGCAAAAGTCGTGAGATCACTTGAATGTGCGATGAGAAACTTCAGTGACTTGAAAACCAATGACAAACATTATCTGCTGATTAACGTTTACCACTGTAAGGCCAGCTCCGTCGAAAATCGCCTTGGACGGCATTTCAAGACAAACCACGCAATTTCATATTGGGGATAGTGGCGTTCAGTTACAAGCCAGTAATCGCCAAAGTGACACTCCAGTGGAGAAAAAGCAGAAAATATATATGGAATATATATGGCCTCTATGGACGAGTTCCCTACTCTCGTTTTATGCTGCAGAGCGATATCCTGCCGCCTCTGGCTCACTAATCGTTTCTCCGCGTCACTCAATGTTGATGCAATCTAACAGTAAAAAAAATCCAAAAACGCGGCGAAAATACTAAACTCGTGTAAGAAAATAGCCAGTGAGTTTTGGTGGGCGGGCAACTGAGGAGGTGACGAAGTTGCCACTTATGAAGGCCGCAGCGCTTTCGCTACCTATTGTGAAGGTGCGAAAGTAGGATCTTGGAAATTGTGGACCAGACTACTTGTACAGTCAAGGACGCCTACGAACTAATTAAGCGCGGAGACTGTCTTCATAGATCTTCTTGGACAAACCTGGACTGTTCGGTCACCGAATTAGATTTATCGGACTGGAAAATTGTTCATTTACTCCCCTTGTTCCCCTCCAACTCTAAGCAAAAATTCTGATCTCCGGCATCGTTTCTGATTTCGCACATGGTTTCGTTTGAATGCCCCCCCCCCTGTACCCCCTAAAAATGGCGTCCCTGGGATGGTAGAAAGATTATCATGAGCACTGGCTATCCCATTCCGATTCATTGCAGTTGTAAATGGTTCTCAACGAACTCTACAGCCTTAGATGCGATTGGATGTGAGACTGATTGCACCAGGATTCAAAAGCTATCTCTCAGTTCCACTGTTGTCGTAGCATAAACTGGTAGCCTTCCGAGAAGGTTACAGATGTTCCATCAAACTGACGTTTTAACAGAAGTCTCCGCCCTGTGCCTCTTACTGCTTTGAAGCTCTACCGGGTGGAGTGCCTGGTGTTACCATTATCGCATTTCCAAAATCAAAAGAAAAAAGCTGACTCACTTTTGGCAGTATGGACATAGTGCTTCGTAAATGAGCGTGATTTTGATGGGTTTCCGTTTATGCATTCGTAAGGCGTCGCACTGCCGTTGAACCCCGCATTGTTGGGCAGCTTGAGGACTGTCACACCTAAAGCATTGTGTTGTTCAGAAGAGTTGTCTCCAGTCTGTTCAGTTGTGTCTGGTGTTCTCGCCATTGTAAAGTATGCCTCGAGCCCGATGTTCGTGCCGAGTTTCATCGCCTGCAATCCTATTGTACCATCAATCAGCTCAGTCGCTTTTTTGTTGCCAAGATGCAGATTCAAATGATTGGCGGCCAGTGTACATCATGGTTGGGGAAACCACATCAGCTAGGAGGAAGTGGCATTTGAGCGATGAACGAGTGAGATCCGTAGGTCCAACCAAAACATAAAATAGCACAGGGGTGTTCCCATCAATTGGGATGGAAGCGCAAAAACCCTCATGCAGTGAAATTTTTCAGAAATGAAACATAAAAATTGTGGTTCTAAGAGAACCGCCACACATAAAACGGCAGAGTAGTCAGATAAAGGTGTTAGCTCAAATTGAAAAGCGGGTCGAAACACGGCTCAAACGCGATTGAAAACTCAATAGTCGAATTCACAGCCACTGTGTTAACGAGAAGAACACATCGCCTTAAACGGCTCTCATAACACGTCTCCCCTTATTTCCAAGCATATTAGTAGGAACGGGTACGGTTCGGGGATCAAATTCCAGATTGGCTCCTTGCTTAGGTCACTCATGAGCTCTACCCTCCGGGGACGGTAAATTGGCACCAAGATAGTCTGAGAGAATAGGATCACGATTTATACATCGGCTGACCCCAGGCCTCGCATTCAATGAGCTGCTACAATTCTGAACGGAAGAAGAACTGTGTGCCGCATTACCATTTTCATTAGTAGCAAGTTGTGAGAAACCTGGAAATGGCACAGCACCGATAAAGCTTAACCAGAGCTGTAGGCCCGCTCTTAGCATGAGGAAGACTACATTGGCTCTCTTGATCAAATCATTCTTTACTGATGACACCCTCCGTATACCTCCACAAGACGAAATGGAACTCAAATGCACGGCACACTCTAGGGTGAGATCGACCGATACCAAAAAAGCATTCTCACTGGCTCGGACAGATGGATGCGTTTTGATGGCAAGGGCAATTTCTGAATGAGTTTGGGAATGGGGATGCGGATGAAATTGGGGAGGGGTGGAAGGAAAAGATTCGAAGCTTGTAGGAACTGCTTGTCAACTCTTGTATAGAATACCTGTCAACACTTGTAAAGCAATGAATACGACAATGGGAAGTACCTTGAGTGCATGTCCCCTCCTCCTCCTAGTGCGGACTGCGCCGAGTTTTGTTGCAGTGTTACAAGAGTGCAAAACGAATTCCGAGAGGCTATGAATTTGCCGCATCATTCCCTTTTTTAGATATCTCTCGGTCTGGCGGGTTTCCAAGAAATGATTAGAGCTTTTTAAGTATCTTTCGTCGAAAATTCCTGATTTCTTGGAATTTTACTCTCTGAGGCTGTTTCAAGTTTCGCAAGCGGTAACATCTGAAGAATATTATCACGTTTAATGCATGTCTTTTTCATCTTTCACATCTGCTTTCCATCGAACATATCTTTCGTGGTAGGAAATATTCGGTGCAGTTGTAAACTTTGGAAACTCTACGGACCCATTTCTTCAATAACCCACCCTCAGCTTCCCAAATGCCCTCCCTGTGGAAAGTTATGAATGTTCCAAGAAGGAGCACTTTTGCAGTTTTCCCATGACTCGCAAAAATAATGTGCTCGATCGCTTGGACGCATTGTGCACCACAGATCCCTGCACCCCCCTCAGTACCAATACTAGTAGAAGACGTGAACGTCAAATTAGTTGATCTGGGATGGGGTCGCACGCCGTTCTTGGCGGTCGAACTCGCATGACATTTTCCATATTTCTGGAATGTTTCGTCTTGGCTGGGTCCTATATCACCGGTACGGTCCATTTTTGCATTATTAGGAAAATCAGCACGAATAAGAAGAGAAGTACAAAACTGTCTAACCAGAGATCTGGAGGAATGTTGCAGTAGTGATGGGTCGGCTGATTGGTATAGTGATGTGACGGCGATGACGGATAGTAAGTCTGATAGGCTTTCACAGGATATGCAGCTACATTTGAATGGTAGGAATGATCGTAACGAGGGTTATGATAAGCAGCCAACTGCAATCAACCGAATGACTAAGTTGTATGCTACCGTAATTCGAGCTAATCAAATTTGTTCTATGAGTGACGAAACGAACCGCAACGTTGGTGGCAATAAAAAGTGTAATCAATCCCGTGCAGCAGTGCATGTGGTAGAAGGAGGGGATGAAAGAGCTGGTGAAGGAAAGAACGAGTAGTGCTGAAAAGTGAAGTGCAAAGCGCCGGGTGGACGAAGATGTGCCAGCGGACACACACGTGCTGGACAGCCACGCCCACAATCAATCGCTGCCCGAGTGTGGGAGCTGAGCTGATCTACAAAAACTGGGATAGGAATGGTCCATTATAGGACCCATGACCCGTCCATGTCTCTGTTCAGCATTTTTCTCCATAATTCCTCTCAGTACTACCCTCCCCTCACACCCTCTTCCCCACCCTCCGCCAGTACCCGGGCAACTATCGGGAAGGATGTGGAAAGACAGCGCTCCTCATTCCTGAGAGAGAGTAGGCGTGGCATTTAAGACGTGGAGTGATTTACTCGTTGGCGGCTAATGCCGTTTGGACTCCAGCAACTTCGGCACCGAGCTCATTTTTAAATTACCTAAGTCGCCAAACCCGCTGAAAATATGTACACAAGGGTTATTTACCATCCTGATTACAATTATGACACTCATTCTTGGCGCTGGCGCCAAGATGAAACACTTTACGATTACCTCTCTTGGCTCAGCCTTAGCGGAGCGCAGGTAATCGTAGTGTCATCCATTAGCGCCAGCGGCAAGAGTGAATGTCATATTCGTAATCAGGATGTTAAACTACCCCTACATACAAGTTTTTAGCGGATTTGGTAACTTAGGCAATTTAAAAATGAGCTCGGTGCCGAAGTTGCTGGAGTCCAAACGGCATTAGCCGTTGGGTTTCAACTTGAACACTGTCATCTTGTCTGCAGTTTTCCGTGACTCGCAGAAATAATGTGCTCTATCGCTGGGGCCGTCGTGCGCCGCCATGAGATCCCAACACCAATACTAAATTTGAAGCAGTGGCTGGAAGGGGGTTGCCGAGACTTCTTCTCGGATGCTTATTCACGCGACGTTTTCCTCTTCTCAAGGATCTTTCCCTCTTGATGGCTGGTCAGATATGACCGGTGCGACCCTTTTTGGCACTGCCAAGTAAACGAGCACTAGTGTGTGGAAAGACTGCCTATGAGCAGTCCTCATTCCTGAGATAGAGTAGGCGTAGGAGTTAAGGCATAAGGAGTTACTCGTTGGATTTCAACTTGAGACAACTGTCATCGGATATGTGGGAATGTAGTGCGGCTCGGAGTGGATAACCTTGTGCCAGTTTGGCGGCGGAAAGTTGAACGGTAGAGGAATTAAGGCGCGAAGTTGCTTGACTGGTACATCCCTTTTCCAGTGACTCCGCCTCGGCCAAAAGTAATTCTTTCGGGCAACTATTTTTAGAGTGAATGCATTCATTGTCTCTTGTAGAGGTAAAGGGTTCGCTATGGGAATCAGCAGACGGGAATCTTCAGCGCGCAGTGTTTTCGGTCTTTCACCTCTATAGTTGTTTGAGGCTAGAGGAGGCCTGACGAATGTGTCTCCAACGTTCCCTCCGGCATTTCTCTTCATAGACTCTTCATTTGGCGAATTTCCTCCCAATTCTGCAACATCACATGGACTTTTTATCGCGCACTGTGCCTTTAAATGGGTATCAGAGTGGAAAAATCTCAGAAAACCTCGGAACGTCCAAATCAAGTATGTAGCTACTCCCACCGCATGGCACTTGAGTGTAGCGCTCATGGGAATGAGGGAATTCCCTACCAGGGCGAATACTTAACTCTGGCCTAGCTCGCAATGATCAAATACCAGCCCGTCGAGGGTTCCTTGACGCGAGCATGACTATGATGCCAACAGTCAAGGGACGTCGGGGTAGCGGGACCCTTTCTCGCGCACCATGGACAAATAAAACCCAGCCTCTTCAATAACGCAAATTTCTGTTTTTCTCAGCTCCTTCACGTCTGCATGGCGGTTTGTGACCACTCTAACTTTTCACATTCCAATTTTTGACGCATCATGAGTAGTGCGCCAAGCTCGTGGCCTCTTCTTCCGAAAAAACTCATTTCCTGGATTGCGACATGTTTTGTACCTCTCGACGTTTTGGGAACAGCAGTCCTTTATTTCTCGGCGCACCAGCCTTTTGGATCAGTTGAAAGTTTTGGTTGTCACGTAATCCCCTTCCGTTTATAAGATGGGCCCGTTCGCGAAGGGTATCCCACTTTTGCCACTCGAGAACGTGTGCTATGATCTGGCTTAGCGTGATCTTATTTGATGTTCACATCCCCGTCCTGTGATCGTAGATGTCTGCAAACGCAGCATGCTCCTGCTGGTGCGAGCTTCTGTCCCAAGGAAACAATGTTTGAAATAATTCGGAAATGATTTCCTAGCGATGAATCGATTTCAAGTAAGGAAGAAATGTTCAAAGAAGAGCAA